TTTCCATAAGCTTTTCCATAAGTTTTAGCACAAACTAAACACACCAACATTCAACAGAAAATTTAATAACATTGAACGTGTCGACATTTACGTATCTTTTCCTATCATTATATAGTACAGTATATTGTAGTGTTAGTGGTTATGCATCACACAATATTACGTTAAAACGCCGAATTACCATTTCTGTTTTCGCATCTCCGATGTTTTTACCAGCTAGTATTTTTTTTTGAATGTTAAACAACGTATCACATATTGATAATGCAAATTTTTACTCTTGTGCCTTTTAATAAATTATTATGAGCAACATTGATTGGAATAAATTCAAAGTACCAGAACTTAAAGCAAAGTGTAAAGAGCTTGGTTTACACGTTAGCGGTACAAAAAAAGCGTTAATAGAACGAATTTTATCCTATTATCATGCCGATTCTAATCAAACTGCAACATTCCACGGCAAATCTAATGGTCAAGTTGAATCATTAGATTCAAAGAAAAAAACTGAAAATGTTTTACAGAATCCTGATAAACGTAAAATTAGTGATGATATTGAAGTTGCGGCATCTCAAAGGAAAAGTAAAAAGGTCGATGATAGTTCAAGAAGAGAAATAGCACCTAGTGCTAGTGACGGGTCGATTGTTGATTATAGCACACGTGAAAGAATGAAAACCCAAATATCGACGCAGAAATCTGTTTCCTTAGTTACAAATGATTCTAACATATCTGAAATTCAAAAACTTGACGGTAAAGCGAAATTAGTAGTAAATGATCTGCCTGTGATACGAAATATTGAAACCTCCGTTTCCGCATCAGAAGAGGCACAAAGGAATGTATCTGAAATGCTAACATCTCCAACACAAAATAATGCATCTGAATTCTCAAAATCTTCTTCCAAGAAGACATTACAAGATGCGTTCAATACTGATTCAAACCTGAATCAGTCTGTTTTATCAAAAGTTTCAAGACCATCACATTCATCTAATGCCAATACAAATAAGAAGACATTACAAGATGCGCTCAATACTGACTCAAATCTGAATCAATCTGCTTCATCAAAAGTCTCGAGACCACCATATTCATCTAATGCCAATACAAATAAGAAGACATTACAAGATACGCTCAATATTGACTCAAATCTGAATCAATCTGCTTCATCAAAAGTCTCGAGACCACCACATTCATCTAATGCCAATACAAATAAGAAGACATTACAAGATGCGTTCAATACTGACTCAAATCTGAATCAGTCTGCTTCATCGAAAGTCTCGAGACCACCTCATTCATCTAATGCCAATACAAATAATAGTACACTACTTAACCATTCATTTCGGTCATCAGGCTTTAAAGAAACAACAGACGCAGGGAAACCAAAAAGAAAAAAAATTCATCACATAATTCGCAAACAAGAACATGTAAAAAATTGCATTACCAAATTGTCAAATACTATAGATTTAGTTTCAAATCAAATACAACCTGTATTATTTCCACTTATTCAAATTCCTCAAGATTATTTACAAATGACTGAGATATTAACAAGTTGCCTCGAACAAACTGATTTTCAAACTGTCCTGGCTGCTGAACGTGTTTGTCATTTGTGGAAACGTGCTGGTAAGATAATTTACAGTATAACGATAAGTTATATATGTGTAATTTAATTGATAAATTAAATATATATTTATATTTATATTTATATTTATATTTTTATTTATATTTATACGTATATATATATATTTATATAAAAAGCATTTTTAGCATGGAGGGGACTTTGCAAACGAAATTTTAGCGGCATATTACTAAATAATGCATTGCGTCAGTATCCTAATCCGTCCAATTCATTCAAAGATTATTATAAACGAAGATTGGAAATTCACCGTTACAATATTACTTTGTTATCTCGTAGTTGGATTGGACAACTTTACGAAAATCTTGGCAATTCACCTAAAGTTATCATTAATAATAATGAATTCATTTATGGAATTCATCAAAATCTATATTATAGTAACGATCACCCATATCAATTATTTATGACTCTGAGATTTTGTGTTGCTAGATTTTATTATTATACTCAATGTGGTGGCTATACTGGATTACTTGAGGATATACCTTGTATTTTAGACGTGAATGAAATCATTGAAGAAATTTGGAAGATTAAATTGGTAAATGGTGATGAATTGGTAATTCTTGGTGCAACAGGTGAAGTTATTGGTCATGACTTTGATAATATTCATAATAATGACAACACTAAAGAACCGTCAAGAATCGGATGGTCAACTTTAAATAATTGGATCGATACGGATGCAGAATTACATGACGATCAAATTAGGAAGGCGCAATTAAGAGTAGATTGGACAACTTACATTCATTCAAAACCTCAGTTTACACCAAATAACAATAAAGAATCTATCTTACCGTCAACAATTGATAATTCTCCAGTCTTTTTAATAAATAAAGTTATTACTGAAAATGGAAATTATCCAAATTCAATCCATAAATCCATAACTTTTGAAGGTAATCCTTTAAAATATATCTATTCAGCAAGATACGTCCTTTCATCTGTCGAGCCTTTTACGGTCTCTGGAAATTTGCAACCAAAACCGCATTGGAAAGTTGCTCGTATATTGGCATTTAAACATTCATTACTAGAATCCGTTGAGTCAATAAAATTGCCAGGAGAAAAGGTTTTTGGAAAAAAGTTAAATGAAAATATATGCTTTGTTCAAACTCCTTCCAGAGGTGTGTTTGTGTTGAAAGTAACTGGGCAAATAATAGGAAATGAGGTAATTTGAATTAATATTTATAAATCATTTTGTTTTTTTAATTAGCTCTAACAATATAGCTATATGTGAAATTTTAATTTATATAGGATGATGGAATTAATTTTATGTGGCAGATGTTATTAGGGTGTGGACATTATGGTGAAGTTATAATTGATACTGAAGATAATAAATCTTTTCAAAATGCAAGGTTAGAATACTTTAAACTAACCGATTAATCGTAGTAATAGTTATAAAACATGTCTCAAATGTTGTAATACGTAGCTGTTGAACTTATTAGTTGCAGTAGTGGCGGAAAATTATGACAATTTTTTAGTAATTATTTGTTAATATAAAAATTTTTATAAAAATATTTAATTATATAAAAATTTATATACATATTCTATAAAATAAAACTAAAAAACTGTTTAAAAAAATCAAGTTTTATATAATAAACTTGTTAAAAAAAAAATAGTATTTATACTTAATAAAAAGTAAAATGATAAAAAAAAAACTTTAAAAGTCAAAAAATTTTTTTATTTAAATAATCTAAATTTTTTTTTTTAATAATTTTTTTTAATATACTTTTAAAAATATAATTTTAAATTTTTAAAATTTTTAAATAAAAAACTGATTTTTTTATAAAAATTTTTTAGTATGTTAATATATATTCTACATATAAATTATATAGTAATTAATTTAAAAAAAATTCTAGATTAAATAAATAAAAATTTTTTATAAAAAAATTTTACTATACTATTTTATAAAATATTTATAACCAATTTGTTTAATAGCTTTTAAAAAATATAAATAAAAATTGAATAAATGCATATATCGCACCATGCTACACACTTATATCTTGCACACCTATAGTAAATCATAATTCAGGTATAATGTAAAATTAAAACAAAACGTTTTACTTTGATGTAGTTAGGGTTAGGGCAGGTTTGATTTAGGATTAGTGTGTGCATAGTTTATATCAAAATTTTGCAAGGAATTTTTTTAGTTAGAACACGAAAGGCTGTTTCCTATGTAAAATTTTGAGCTATTGGAGATTTTATTAAAAAAGTGTTTTTTTCGCCATTTTTTTACATTACACCTGATCTTGAAATTTGATTGGTGGGCGACAAATAAGAGTATCGCATGGTGTAAAATTAGCCAATTAAAATAAAGCGCGATAAATAAGAGAATCGCACCCATGCGAGATCTAGATTAATCCATAAAAATTTTATTTATTGTGGTTTTCGAAATGGTAGAAATGAGTAAAAAAAAAATTTTTTTCTAGTATACTTGTATACTCGTATACTGGATTATCATAGCACATCGATTGAGAATCGATATTTGTACATATATAGGTGCTTAATTGTTTGAAACAAAAGTAAATCAAGCATCGATATTCAATCAATGTGCTAAGGTAGTCCGGTGTATAAGTATACAGGTATACACAAAAAAAAATTTTTTTTTTACATATTTTCAACTATTTTGAAAACTGCGATAAATTAAATAAGCTTTTAATAAAATTTTAAAATTAAATCTAAAATTTAAATTAAATTTTACTAGTAATTTTTTAATTTTTTAACAATTTTTTTATTTTTCTTTTTAATTATATTTTAAAATACAGTATATATATATATAGTCAGACCTCTCTAAATACATGTTGTCAGGACCAGCTCTAGCATGTGCATTTAGAGAGGTATTGTATTTAGAAAGGTAAAAATCTATAGATATAATATTAGTTGGGCTCAAAAGAAGACATGCATTTAAAGAGGTATTGTATTTAGAGAGATAGCATTTAGGGGGTCTAACTGTATATAGGTTTTTAAAATGGCTAAAGTTAAGTTTGAAGTGGCCAGATTAGTATTATTGGTTTTTTCTAGATAAGGGTAAGATTCTTATACTCAATTATTAAGAATTTGATTGTTACAAGTGTAACTTGGAATTCAGTTGTTTGTTGTATTTTTATTTGATATGCTTGTCTATTGTTGTTGTATTTGAGATTATAATAGTAATATTGTCTCTTTAGTTTTTCTAAAATGTTGTCAATAGGTCAATTACTTTGGGATATTTTTCTAGTATTGTTGCTACTTTAGCTCTATCATTTTTTTCGAAGATGGTTAAATATTTATACCTTATATAAAGATAGTCAAAGTTCATGAGTTGTTTTTTTATTCATTTTAATGGTGCTATTTGTTTTTGAATTACAGTTTTAAATAGCCGTCCTTTCTTGATCTGTTTTGTAGTTATTGTTTCTTTATTCATCATAATATTTTCAAATTCTTCTATTGTTAATGGTGTCAGTTCTTCTTCTTCAGATTTAAAGTCTATTCCTTCAAATAGTTTAGTGAACGTTTTCTTCAGATTTATTATTCTGTATTAGTGTGTGGTTTTTATTTTATTTATATATTCTAGTGTGGAGTAATCTTCAATTTTTTTGAATATGTACCAAAGGTTCTGTAGTATCATAGGTACAAGAGGTATTTGTTGTTCTTCTATCTGTTTTAGAGAATAAAGTTTCCATGGTTCTAAGATTTCAGATTCAGTATTTTTTAATATTTCCTTATCATTTAGTCAAAAAATAAACAGTCCTAACATAATAAAGTATTTTGTTTCTTCAGGATTACATCCTGTTGCTATCTATTTTTCTGTTGAATAGTATGAATTTTCTTGGATTTTTATTAGATTACTATTCTTTACTACTAATTCAGATTCTTCAAATATTTCTCTTAAGGCTATTACTTCTATGATTTCTTTTAGTATTCCATTTTGGTCTAATTTTTCTTTTCCTCCCATTCCATTGAATGTTCAGTAAAAGCTTTTATTTGGGTTAATTCATTCAGCTAATAAAATATATATTTCAGCTTCTATTACTATAAATCCTATTGCTTGGGTCATTATTCTATTTGGTAGATAATATAGATCATGTAGGAACACTTGTTTATTAAAGTATACTAATAGTTCTGGATTTGAGTATATTTCTAAGTCATTTTGTAGCTGGTCCTTCTGGTTCAATCTTTCCACACATTGGTTTAATTCTAGGTTCAATAATTCTCCAGTGATTACATTCTCTTTCCCAAGTCTTTGCATAATAATTTTTAAATTTTTCCCAAGTCTGTCTTTCTGTTTTCCAGTATTTTTTACTTATACTTATCCCTGTTCTTTTCTTATAGATTTCTTCAAGGTATTGTTTATAACTTTCTTGCCTGTACTGTCTTTCGAATTCTTTAAAAGTTTCTCCAGTATATATACTTGTGTTTTGGTCGTATTGCCACTTAATTGTTTTTTAAATATCTTTTATTTTTGTTGCTATCCAAAGATAGTCATCATTATAGTAACAATTATATATTGTTAAGGTCTTTTGTTCTAGGACTATGCTTTTGAGGATTACTTCCTCAAGTTCTGATTCTAAGTCATGTATTAATGATCTTAACAATTTTAGAGATTGGTCAGTTGTTAATTTTTTAGGTTTTACTTGTTGTCTTATTTCGTATAGTTTGCTATTAAAACAGTAATATTTTTCAAATAATAATTCTGAGTTTAGATGTTTCCAATAAGTCATTTAGTTTTCCAGAATTTTTTATGTTCTTCTTTTATTTCTTCAACTGTTCTTTTGTCAAAGGTTCTTTCTATATAGAATCCTACTACTGTCCTGTATATAGCGTCTATTTGGGATTCAAGTTTGTTTTAATAAATGATCTTTGATTTTCCTTGTTTTGTTCTTCAGTATATACAAAAGAGTATTTAGAGTAGTTTATATCTTTGATGTCAGAGATAAGTTTGTTAATGCAATAGTCTAAATTCCTGAGTGTTTTTACTAGAAAAAAAATAAAATTCGTTTCTGGTCTTTTAGGAAATAAAGAGATTATAGAATTTGCTATTCCATTGACTTCTAATCATAAAATTTCTTTATAATATTCTTCTTCAATATCTTTGAATATCTCTTTAAAATATCCTTTTATTTCTTCTATAGTTGATTCATATTTAGGGTTTTCCTTTTTTGATAGTTTGTAATAAAGATCAAAGTACTTTTTTATATTAATTTTCTTTCACTTAGTCATTTAATTGTTGTAATTCTTGAAGTAGTTCTTTAGTTCTTTTATTTATTAGTTCTTTTGCTTTTTTATTCCTTTTAAACTATTTAGCTTCTTTTTCTGATAATTAGGCTTGTATCTTTTCATCGTAGTCAAAAAAGTAAGTTGCTCCTTCTAATGAGTATAAATTTCTAATGATATTGATAATATGAGTTGTAATTAATTATAGTTCATCTGGTATTAAATAAACTTCTTCTTGGGCTATTGGGTCTTGTATTTTTTTTTTGAATTTCATCAAGTACGGTCTCCAATTGTGATTGCACAATATTTAGTTTGTTTATATATCATTTTTGTAATCTGATTAATTCGTAATTGAATATAGTCCCTTCGGTTATATTTATTGATGCTAACAGTTGTTTCACAGCTTGTAATATTACTAGGATTATTCCTATTCGATTATTGTTTATTGGTTGGATCCTCCTTTGAAGTCTTTTAATAATTTCTACAATATCGCTGATTATTTGGTCTTTGGTTCTTTGTTCAAGTATTTCTTTTATTGGGTCAAATTTTGATTTTCTATGTAAGAGATTTCAGATAAATTTAAATCTTTTTTGTTGTATTATTCTTTCTATTCTTTGGTATGCATTTATACTATTGTTCATTTAATTTTTTTAAATATTCTTTTCTTTTATTCACATATTGTTCAAATCTTTGTATTTCTCAATTAATTTCTTCTATATTTTTTGTTTTGTTGTTTTTATGTATAATTATAAAACTATTAATATTTAAGATATTGTTTTCCTGTAATAGCTCAAGCTTTTGTTCTAATTCGAAATTAGTTAGTTTTTTTAGGTTTTTCCTTAATTCTTTTAATTCTTCAAATAAATTTCTTCTTCAACTTCTCTTCGTTTTTCAGGTGTTTGTTCAAAACTAATTGTTCTTGTGAATGTTATTCTGTTGATTTCATCTAGTACTGATATTAGGCAGTAGTTTTTATTTGTTCCTTCTTTTAGTTGTGCGCAGGAGTATTTATTGTTTAGGTTCTGGATTTGTTTAACTATTTGTTTGTGTATTAAGTTTATTAATAAGTTTAATTAAATTATTCCTTGTAAGTTTTTAAGATATTCTCCTAACATTTGAGTTATTCTATTGAATTGGTTACTATTTTCTGTAGTTATTAAATTCTATTTTAAGCAGGTTTTCTTGTTGTT